TGGGTATAAAACGCAGTTGACTTCCTCTTGTGGTATTCTGTAAAAGAACATTTCTAAATTCCCCTGACAGCCTGCTTCAGCCTAAAATGACAGCCTGCTTCAGCCTAAAATGACAGCCTGCTTCAGCCTAAAATGACAGCCTGAGCCGCACTGCACAGCCGAATGATGGAACGCTGGTCAATGTGCGGGCTTTTTACATTGTAACAACCCAGACGGGACGTGTTTTTTTTTAGGGAACGCTTTTATTTTCTATGGAATTTCCCTTTAAATATAGACTAGAAGGAAGACTGTTGTTGATGGGCCCTCTATGTAGTATGACTTCGGGGTCCCCGCTCCCCACCTGCATCCCCCCTCGCTGTTCCCCATGTTGTCAGTTGATATAAGTTTTCATAAACAGAGCTTATCAGTCCCATGCAATGACAATGATGGCGGTGTCACAGTTTCCAGAGAACTCTGGGAGTCTTTGCTGGAACATTTGAGTGTTTGTTTATCTGGTCAGCTATGTGATCTATCGGGCGTAGAATCTCAGGGAACATGAAATCTGCACCGCGCTGCGAGCCAGGCTCGTATGATGCGGCCTTATCTGAGCCAAACACCCTTCCTGTCCATCCGTCAGGAAGAGACGGAGCTTTTCAAACAATGAGCTGTTTTAACTCTTCCCAAAATAACCCGCCAGCGCCTGGCCTGCGTGGAAGGGGGCCGGTGAGAGAGAGTGTGTGCGGCGGTCTCCCTCCAGTTGCTCGGGAATGAAATGCGCAAGCAGGATTCATTTCCCATTGTGTTACAATTGGTGTACTCAGTTGCAATAACAGACTATTGGGGTGAAGTGCTGTTGTACTACAAACCCCATCTGCTATTTACTACCGTGGGGCAGTGGCGTCGCAAGGGGGGTGCGGCTCGCACCAGGGTGCCACCATTGGAGAGGTGACCCCAAACTGACTGACAGTCATTTTGGTGTCACACCCTCTGAAAAGTAGGGGACTCGGTCATTGACTGAGAGCCCGACAGTGTCAGGAGAAAGGAGGGGACCTACCTCATCCCGCCGGGTAAACGTCCCCTACTCTCTCTGCCAAGATGGCCGCCGGCAGGTGTCAATAAGATGACCATGCATGCGTGATGACGTCACGGCGGGGTGTCACCCGGTCTCGGGACGCCCCTGCCGTGGGGCATGTAACATTTGTTATGCAAGCAGGATTCCTTCCTTTCTTTGTATTACAATTGCTAGGATGGCTAGGTGGCCTAAGCATGACCGGTGACCTATGAGCCAGAGGCCTGTGACACCTCAGCCGGCCTTACCTAGGACTGTGTGTGGTTACCTGCGCACTGCATTGTGGGGACCTTAGATTTTATAACCCAACTGGTGACGTGTTTCCCATCTCAAGGACCCGGAGAACGATAAAGGCCGATAAATTGTTTATAAGAGATGAATATTTATATTGTATCCTGATTGCAATTCTAAAGTGTCCATGTAAAGTAGATCAGGAACATTCATTATGTGCCTAGGATTGCTGCCCTGTGACCCCCAAGGACTTAACCCTTGCTGTGCCTAAAATTGCGGCCCTGTGACCCCCAAGGACTTAACCCTTGCTGTGCCTAAGATGGCTGCCCTGTCACCCCATGGACTTAACCCTTGCTGTGCCTAAGACTGCTGCCCTGTGACCCCCAAGGACTTAACCCTTGCTGTGCCTAAGACGGCTGCCCTGTCACCCCATGGACTTAACCCTTGCTGTGCCTAAGACTGCTGCCCTGTGACCCCCAAGGACTTAACCCTTGCTGTGCCTAAGACGGCTGCCT